TGACTCTGAGTGAAACTGAAAGTCTCTTCCCAACAGTAATTTCATGTTGTGGGAAAACATGATGGGGTTTTAAAAGTCATGGTCACATATGCCTATACTTGCCATAAATTTGCATTAGCCCATGTGGATCTCTTTATATACCTTTACAAAGGGCTTCAAAGAATGAGTCATAAATTTATTTTCCCCCATATGAAGTGACATTTCCTTTGCTTCTCTCAAAATTACTGTGCCCCTCCTTCCAAATAATTAGTTTTATACAGAGTAAGGTAGTAGTAAATTAATTCAGTTGATTTTACTTGTGCCTTTCATACTCTCTGAAATGTCACTTCTGAATTTTTATTTGTATTTTACTAAAACTCAATTAATTTATTGTGTCTTCACATGACAATTTTCCTGAACCCTTTTTCCTTTTACATAAGATATTAATGGATGATATCCAAGACAGCATAATGTTCAAGGTACAGTACTTACACCACAGATTCAACATATTTCCTTTCACATACAATGCCTTTTTATGATGACTTCAGGCTTCTGTTAGTCTTCCTCTTGGTGAAAGTCCTTTGCGAAATATATCGTTGGGGTCATTTTTATTTATTTTTTACTATATAGTTGGAGGATGCATAACTTAGTACAGCACAGCCAGTCTCCTGACGCCTGACCATATTAGCTCTTCTTCCTATAGTCATCATCTCAGCTGGTAGCACTGTGGTTCACCAGTCACCCTCCTGGGATTCTGTCCTCTATTCTGGATACCCTTCCTCACTCCTGACTTATGTCCCATGACTCATGAGGTCCTCCAATTATACTTTTATATATTTTGACCCAACCGTTCTGCTTCCATGCCATCAGATATCATCTCACTAACTTTTGGTAGTTCCCTTTAAAGAGTCAGTCGTAGTGTCAGGTTCCATGGGTCAGAGGTCCTGTTCCAGGTCCTATTGTTAATACTTTGGTTGTTCCCACATCACTTTGTGAACTCCTTGGAGGAAGGATATTTGGGGAACTTGTCCACTGTTTTATCCTCTACCAGTGATTTAGTACCTGGTATATATGAGTGTGAATAAATAATAGTTGGCTGGATGAATGAATTAATGAACAAATAAAGCTTTCTTTCATCTCCCTCTAATGCCTGCTTTATTGACTATGCTGAGACAAAATGATCCAACTATCCAGGAGTAACAATATTGAATCATTTGGCTTCAAAGCACTGAATGAAATTATAGTACTTAATTGTTTTTTTGTTTATACTTTAGTATGTTTTTGGTGTGTGTGTATGTGTCCAAGGTGAGATGATAGTAATTTTCAAATATTTGCCTTAAAAAATCTCCATGTTCGTCAACAGTGACTCGTCACTATTTCCTCCACAAGCCTTGCACAGCAGTAATGTACTTTAAGTTACTACTAATTTGTCTATTCTACACATTTAAATAAATGCAATCATTTGATAAAATTACCTCTAAATATGAGTCTTCTTATCACTTTGTTTTTAATATCTCACTAATAGAGCATTACTTTTTTTGTCAATCAAAGTTGGATTAAAATCCTCCATTCATGGGCCTCCTCGGTGGCGCAGCAGTTGAGCTCTGGGTTGCAAAGCTGCCCGCAGCCTCTGCAGCGCCGGTTTGATCCCCGGCTGCTCCCCGGCCACCAGAGGAGGGTCCCACATGGTGCACAGACCTCTCCTGCCGCCCGCTGCTCCCCTCAGCAGTGTACTTCGGTCCTTCTGCCTTCTCTGCTCCCCGCTCTGGCTCTGGTGAATTCTCTCACCCTCCCGCGCTTCTGACTGTACCCAGTGCTTGTATATATAAATAAATAAATAAATCTTTAAAAATATATATAAAAAAATAAAATAAAATCCCCCATTCCCACTTGGGCCATTCTTTGCCATCTTGATCTGTGTTAGCTTCACTTTGAAGCAGTTATAATATGAACAGTATGCAGATGTTTTGTGTGTGCATTATAGAGAGAATTTTTGGGTGAGATATGGTAGGAAGACGTAACTTGAGCTCTAGAAATCAAAGTGGAACTCTCTGAGGATGTGACAACTGTCTCTGTTGATGCTTTGCCACAGGTCCCTTCTGCTCTGAGTTCTTCTGAAATTTGTGAGGCAGTATCTAATATACTACATTTCCCAACTCAAATGCTTTGTTTCTTGCTGCTGCCTGAATAAGGTACTAACAAGGATAATCTGGGGGAGGAGGGGAGCTAACTTCTCCCAGGAACAAAAGGGGATAGGAGGTGATAAATGTCACAGCCCCAGTAGTCTGACCCCCAATGAAGGGTTCTGCGACTTGTGTTTCTGAGTGTCTTCAAAGGCACCTGTCTATAGTGTAACACACACAATAATCTACCTGTTGCTGGTTTTCCTCTTTTTCATGTCTCACTCTTCCTACTTCCTTTACAAATACTTCTTGGCTTCATCTTCCAAACAAATAGTCTATTCCTAAGTCCTTATATCAGTGATGGCCAAGGCTTAAAGAATATGTAAGCTATGGCCAATCAAGATTGAAGTCTACTTCATGCAGAATAGGTTAAAAGTTGTCAGGTTCATGGAAGTAAAATGTGTTCTAGTTGGCTACTGGAGCAGACTATGAAGTGAAAAGTAGGTGGGGCCAGTTAGTGGTCATCCTTAGAACTCATTTTCACTACTTTGGCATTATTCCAGCGACAGCGGGTTCTAAACTGATTGACATGAAGTGAGAGAAAGATGGTCTAGATAGTATGGTGAATGAATTCTAAGGGAACTGTAGCTGAGACATTTTTTATGTAAAACTTATTTAGATAATAGTGATCTAACTTGAGGAAGGGTGTCATCAGTGCTTGGAAAGAGATGGATAGATTTCACTATTGAAAAGATAATACCTTTTAAAATCACCATTGCTATTCTCTATCAGTGTTACATAGGTCATGGTGATAACTGAGGTAAACTCGTCAATCACTGATGTTTTTTCTCCAGGATGGTATGTTAGCAAATTTCCTTTGAGAACTTACTTGCTTCTCATAACACCTTTAACTTATATGCTAATGTGTCTGAATCTAATTCAAAACATATTTAAATATGTGTGGTGCCTAAGATTAAATAACTCTGGTCATATTCCTCTGGTACTTTCTTGGTATTAATGGATAGATAGTGAGATAGATTTAACCCAAACTCCTATTCTCTAAGAAAGAATGCCAAGGGTAAATTTTACCGATTTGCTCATGAGCATGGGAATTAATTACAATGGTGGAAAAAAATATGCCACAGCAAGTGCCTTTGTGAAATTATTTCTGACATGTTCTTTGAGATATATGATTTTGTCATCGAAGCTTTTATTTTAGAGCTATTAGTAACCACTCATTTCAGTTGGTTCAGTGCAAATGAATTTCGTTATTCCCATTAGTCAGCACAAAATGAAAATGATGAGAAACCCTTTCTGAAAACGTAGCTTTTGATAAAAAGGAAAGAAAGCCTAATTGAAAGTCACTGTAAATTTTGAATGATTAATTTCATGACAAATAAGTCATTAGAAATCTCTGATGGATATAAAAAAGCAATCATTTGCAAAATTGGAAAGATGTAAATTCAGTCTAGATATGCTTCTCTTTTTTTATTTTGTATATTGGGAGAAATATAAAATAGAAGTTGCTGAATTTTCAACATAATAACTTTGTACTGTTTGTTTGCAGGTGCTATTGGATTCTAAGCTAGATAATTTCTCTCTGGAACCTTTTATTTCAGTTGATCATGTTTATCATAGTTTGCTGCTTTTATTTCTTTTCTTTTTTTACAGAGTTCCTTTTCCTTTTTTAATTTAATTTTATTTATTTTTGCATAGAATAACAGGGTTGTGGAGGGCAGAGGATGCACTAGAGAGAGAGTGAGGAGCAGGACAGGCAAATTGACTAAATTACACTGCTGAGGGCAGCAGTGGGTGAGATAGGAGAGGTCTGCTTTGCCATGTGGGTCACCTCCCTGGCTGGGAATCGAACTCAGGCTGTGGCAGTGATAGCACTGAGACTTAACCCCTATGCCACCAGGGAGGCCCTGTTTTTCTTTCTTTCTTTTTTTTTTGTTTTTGTGGGATCCTCACCGGTGGCCAGGGATCGAACTGGCGCGGGCAGCCTCGCAACCCAGCACTCAACCGCTGCACCACCAGGGGAGGCCCTGTTTTTATTTCTTGACTAACAATCATATACCTAGTTCATATATTGATAATTTCAAACAATCAAAAAGTCTAGGATTTTTTCATTTCTTTGTTTTGTTTTCCTTTATTATTTGTTTTCACTCTGTTATATATAAAATAACAAAAATCCAGGCCCCATTTTAGACCCCAAAAAAGACAAAATATATTTACTTTCTTCAGTTTTCAACTATACAAAAGTATCTCTCCAGTAACCAGTATTGTTTCTTCGTTGTGTTTGTAAAAGTAGGCATAGTATCCTGAATCTGGAGTGCCCATCCCATTAAAAAAATAAAAATACCAACAGGTCTACACCTTTAGTTACCTCTTGTTCCATAAAACTGCTTTTCATTATGGGATATATAAAAGACCAATTGTATATATAATTGTGTAAAATAATATATTTTTATTGTTACTCAGTAAAACTTGACAGTGTGCTCTACTCCTTGGGGGAAAGACTAATCCAACTAAAATCAACCCTAAAATAAATTGCTCATCACGGTAACTGAATTGATTTGCAGTGGGTAACAAAGCAGCTATGGTAACAATAGAGAAAATAGCTTGATTCAGAGTTGAAACTTCCAGATTCCTTTTGTAAATAAAGCACAAACCAATAGACCATAACAGCCCAACTTTTATCTTTTCACTTACTTCAAACGTTTAATTACCAGGAAAATATATCTCTTATTATTATCCAAGATTCAGGTTTTAAAAGTCAACTTAATAATAGTGATACAAAAGAGAAGCATCATTTTTTTTTAAGTGGAAGGCTCTTCATTTTACTTTTACTATTATGCACATTATTGATTTATTTTTTCTGATTGTTGTTCTTTGCAGAGAGTGAATTTGTCCTTCGATTTTCCATTTTATGGCCATTTCCTCCGTGAAATCACTGTGGCTACTGGGGGTAAGTGGTTTTCTCCCCATTCAACCTAAATTATCTACAGTTTCACTACAGATGTTATTTTTAATTTATTCCTATATTTCAAGAGGGACATTTATTGGGTAAACCATTGTTTTCTGTCAAAGTTATGTGTATAAAATAAAACTTAAGACAGCATAGCTGTTAGAAAAACTTCTCAGCAAAAAATGTCACTACAATAATTTTTAGTTTTGATTCACTTCTGCTTTCCTTCTAAGTCTTAATTCATCTTAAGGAGTTTGATAAGATTTAATTAGGAATAGAACTAGAAAGAAACGGACATTTTGAAGTATTCTTATTTTATTTTAATATATATATTTGATAGCTATGAAACTATATATACTCACACATATACAATCTAATGCATATTAGCTTTATTTGTTTTTCTTTAATGTTGATGGACAAGTTATTTGAGTTTTAGAAATAAACATTAAATTTGAATTCATTTAATTTTATTTTTCTCTACAAACTTTAGAGGTTAACTTAGAGACTAGTAATATTCTGGAATGACAATTATTCTTTATAGTATATCCCAGAGGGCAGAAATATTTAATCCATGAGTACTACTAGCAGAGATTAAACAGTATGTTACAAATACTTGTAGGCCTACTACACGGGGTAGAAGTAGTACAAGAATGAAAGGAAAACATCAAAATGGAAGAGTAGATATACAAAAGTAGAAATGGGAGAGTAAAGTTAAAAGAAATCCACAAGGGATAGAAGAGCAATCGGAGGAGCTCATGCTGAAAGCAATGTAGAGTTCTTTCACTGGGTCTTGTTATTGGTCTGCCAGATGGTATGGAAACCCAGGTTGATCACTCTTGCCATATTCTAATATAAGACTTTGAAAAAGATATACAGGATTTAGAAGACAATTTATAATCTGAAATATTAATGAGCAAATAAATTTTTCTTGAGCACCTACTCTAAGCAATGCTTAAAAAACCTACCTATACACAGGAATGAACAGACTAGTAGACTAAGACAAGGTGAAGCAGAATGTGGGAATTCCTTAGAAAATGATGACGTATGGGTTTCTCAGATTGACAAAGCTCAACATTTGTGAGACTTCTTTAAGACTTTAGAGAAAAATTATTTTGATTAGTACATTTCTTAAGGAATGTCACAACTTCTATAGTTGTATAGGGAAGAAGAGTAGAGGAATATCTTATAGGGAGGAATATCTTGAACAAATATATAGAAGACAAAATGGGTGGAGTATTTTGGGATAGTCACTGAGTCAGAATGAAAATGGGATACTTTTACCAAAAAAAAGTAGCATGTTAGGTTTAGAAAAATAGGTTGGACAATGTTATATAATGTCTCAAGAGTGAAATTGCATCCTTAGTCCATAATAAAGTAATAAACTTTAAGAAGATGAGTATAGACATATTTGTGTGTGCCTTAAAGTATACAAAGTTAGAGCTGGGTGGGGTTGGGGTGGGGGCAATGTATACAAAGTTAGAAGAAGTTAGTGCATATAGTTAGAATAGCATTGAAGTACTTTATGTGAGAAATATTTAGTTCCTTGGTGATTCTGTGGCTTCAAACCAAGTAAAAGAAATTAGGTTATTAGAAAAAAACTACTAAGCAGAAGAGCTGATTTTAGGAAACTTATACTTATGTAGGAAAAGGACTCTATATTAGCAAAATTCACATAGGAACTGTTCTTTTTTGAGCTCGTTGTGTATTTCTGTGCTAGTATAATGCCAGTCATTACTGTGCTGAAGGGCTGAATGAAAAGAAAAAAAGGTAAAATTCAAAGATTGCCTCTGTAAGTCATGAATTGCATCATGCACTCATGTTTTTAAACATGGTTAAGGACAAACATGTTTATCTTCCAATATGGACATTAGGCCTATTTTTTGACATTTAAGTTGTCAGTGTTCTGATGAGTTTTAAAAAATTTATTCCTTAATCACATTTGTTCAATATGTGCACATAATGGTAAACATATCAATAGCTTTGAATTATCAGTTTCTCAAATTGTTTTATCCTAAAACTTATGTCAGTGATTCGGCCAATATGAAGTAAGATTTTTTTTTTTTAGTTGAGCTGGTAGGAAAAAACCCAAGCCGATGGTCATATCATCTTTACTTCTTAAAAGTACCAATTTCCTTTGAAAAGATCCTCAAAATTAGTGAAAAATTTCATTGTCTCCAAGGATCTCAATTTTCCTTGGAGAAAGCACTAAATGTAAAGAAACTTTCCCCCACTATTTAAGATGTAGTAGCATAGAACTTGCATATACATACATACATATGTGCATTATTTATGTGCACTTATACATATGTAAGTCAATATTTTAGACACTGATCTGCACTTCAACATGGAAAACCAGAATCTCCTGTAAAAACCAGAATCTCCTAAATAAAGAGCTTGTTTTCACTTAAGTTGTTCATTTATTCTCTCAGCATTGATTAAGGTCCTATTATGTGAAAGGAGCATTAGATGCTACTTCACTGTATGCTCTGTATGTACAAAAGAATTCATTGTTGCTGTTCAGATGCTTACCCTCTAACAAGAAAGGGGGTGGATGTCAAAACCATCAGAGAAGGTTGAATGAACTTGTTTGAACTTGTTTCTACATTGGATTTGAGAAAAGGGAAGTGAAATGTTATAGTAAATGTTGTGAACCATAATCTCCCCTATCCTTACCTCAGTAAGGAACAGAAAGCTGGAGAAACAGAAAGTTGCATGAAAGGAGACCATTCTTGTTGGGCCAGTCAAGAACAGATTTGTGAGAAGGAAAAAAAAAAAAACACAACTAACATCTGACAACAGTCTTAAATGGAGATGAAATATTAAAAGGCAAGCTGGCAGGTTGAAAAGAGGCAGAGAGGGGCAGGACATTCCAGACATGCTGAGCTCAGTGTCAGGGCTGTGCCTGCAGGGAGCGGGTTTGGAGGGCTCTCAGGGAATCTGTTTATCTTGAATGGAGAGTTGGAGTGAGAGTCTAGTGAAGGGGAAATGGCAAAGGCAATGTTTGGACATTACACATTTGGATGATATCCTGCAAACCTTCTTTAAGTGGAGGATAATCTGGCAGTGGAAGACTGGATAGAGTGAGGAGTGAAGGCAAAGTGTAGTTAGCAGAAAGTTTCAATACGTGTGTGTAGGTTATGGTGCCTAAACTAGGATACATGCAGGAGAGAAGGGAAGAAACCAGTGCAACACACATTGGATTTATTTAATCACTGTGGTTGCAGAGGTTTCCAAAGAATCCATTAGCATGCAGTGAATAAAGCTCAGCATAGCTTAGAAGAGGATTTCGCACCATAGATTTTGAAGGTTCTCCTCTATGATTGACTAGGTGCTATAAGCAGGTAGATCTACTTGACATAGCTTATCACCTCACAAATCTTTAAAAACTTATTCATGATGAAAGACTTGGAAGAAAAATAGAAACTGCAAGTCAGGTTAAATAAAGCTGATTTTAAATCTTTCCAAATAGATCCAGGAATGGGATTTTTAAATAGGTTCACTTAGGTTTCTACAAAACTGAAGTGAATAGAGATATTCTATTAACTGCCAATTTTCTTTGTGTTTACAAATTCATTTTGAACTTGTTCTACATTGAATTTGAGAAAAGGGAAGTGAAATGTTAAAGTAAATGTTGTGAACCACAATCTCCTCCATCCTTACTTCAGTCTGTTCCATTTCATAGACCTCCTTAAAATCTTTCTCTCTTACTTTATTTAAGGCTGAAAAAAACTTAAAGATAATGTCTTGTATTATTACTAGGATTAAAACCATTTCAAAACAGAAAATAATTTAAAATACAGATAAAATTTACCATGAATCATGTTTGTATAAATATGTATATTTATACAAATGTATGTTAGGAATATACTTAAGTTTTTAGTTAAAAACTAAATAGTCATTTATTTATAAACTACAAAAATGAATCTTTGCTTATTAAACATTTTAATTTCCCAAAGGCTCAATCATCCATACAAATAATGCACAAAATGAATTGGAAATACCATCTTATTTTCTGGTTCACTGATAGCGGAAACTGAAAGCATTCATTTATCTTTCTATTTAAAAAACACTTTAAAATAAAAAATGTTTTAGGCATTAAAAAACTGACCTCTGTACATTTCATAAAAAATATTTCCATTAATGTCACCACTAAGTGCATTGTTTACATATCATAGTGCCTTTTATTTTCTTTCAAAATTAATACTTTTTTAAATTTTCATTTTGCTGCTAAGGTGATTTTTTAAATGGTCAAAAATAGATTTAAGTTTAAGGGTTGCATTTTCAATCACTGCGACCACCACTGTGACATTCTTTTCACAAATCTGTCATGGATACATATAACTATGATGCGAGGCAGTAGGGGGGAGGGGCTGGAGTGCTGCTTATATAATTGGAAAGACAAATAGTTGAGACCATTTAGTTAATTCTGGCATGAAAATTTAAGCATGTAGACAGGTGCTGATTCATAATTAAAATAGTGTGTTGAATTGTATCCATTTGTATATGTGAGAACAAGATCAAGATGACATGAATTAAATGGACATTGATATACAGGTCATGCTCATTTGGACGACATAAAGGATTTACCCTCCTTTCCTCTCTCCATGAATTTCTAGTTGGAGATTTAAGAAGAAAATTGTTTAGAATTTTGTTTTATTATTTTATAATCTTTTTATTGTTCTAACATTGGTTTACAACACTATATATGACTTGGGTATATGATCATATTCCTTGAGATGTATGTTACCATACCATACTCACCATGAAGCACCCACAGCCCCCCATGTATTCAGTTGGGCCTCTCTATACTTTAAGCTCTACCTTACCCTTTCCAAAATTATCAGTTATACAGTCAAATTTAGGTCTTGTTGGTTCGGTTTTATCTGACCCTTTGTTTTGAAACTTTATATTCCACATATTAGCGAAACCATCTGGTATTTGTCTTTTTCCTTCTATCTGATTTCACTTGGCATTATTCCCTCCAGTTTCAACCATGTTGT